CCTCTGGGAGCCAGCCTGGCAGCAGGTGCCTGGCCCTTTCCAGATACAGTTGCCAGCCTTTGCCCCGTGCTTCATCTGGGCCAATTCAGCAACAGGGTTGCTTCTCTCTCTTTTCAGTCTTGTCAGGTTGCTTGGGATTCTTTTGTCTTTCTTTTCTTTTCTTTTTTTCCTGTCTCTTGTTAAAGTTCCTTTATACCCCCAAAAATTAATTAATCCCAGCTGGTAAGATGACAGCTAGAACCCCGGAGACTGATCGGCCCCTGTGTGTCTAAGACATCAGTCTTGTACCAGCAGTGACACAACATTCTGTCTGTGGCAGGAACCCACCAAGGCAACTGACTAGCCAAGGTTCCGCTATCTGAGCTGCTTAAAGCACTTTGAACACCCGAGCTCATCAAGGGTCTATTCTGAACTCATTCAAAGTGCCCTGGGTTCAGAGACTAGGAAACAAGGAGAGGTCGTGGGGGAACACCCAGATCTCCTGGGGAAGAGGAAATAGAAGAGATTTCGTGAATGGACTGAGGGTAGGAGGGGATGGGAATATGAGCGATCAGGTTGGGAGGGACACAGAGGGGACTCCTGGGGAAGGTCTTTGGGGGTTGGGTGGAAGCCTGGCACAGGGGAATCTCCCAGGAGTCTATGGAGAGGATCCCAGACTAGACTCCTAGCAACAGTGGATAAGTAGCCTGAACTGGTGGTCTCCTGTGACCAAATTGATGTCTGGCCCAATTATCATCAGACAGATGCCACCCAGCAACTAATAGAAACAGATGCAGAGACCCACAGAGAATGCAGAGAGCCAAACCTTAGGTGGAGATCAAGAATCCTGTGGAGGAGGAGGAAAAAGGAGTGTAGGAGTCAGAAGGGTCAAGGACACCACAGGAAGGCTCACACAATCAGCTAACCTGGGCTCACAGAGGCTTGCAGAGACTGAACTGACAACCAGGGAACCTGCATTGGACTGACCTAGGCACTCTGCACATATGTTACAGTTGTGTAGCTTAATCCTCTTGTAGGACTCCTAACAGTGGGAACAGAGGCTGTCTCTGACTCCTTTACTGGCTTTTGGGACCCTATTCCTTGTACTGGGTCACCTTGCCCAGCCTTAATACATGGGGAGGTCCTTAGTCTTACTGCTACTTGATATGCCATGTTTTACTGATACTCATAGGAGATGTGCCCTTTCCTAAATGGAGATAGAAGAAGAGAGGATTGAGGGTGGTAGGGGGCATGGGGAGAGAGACTGGGAGGGGAGCATGGGGGCGGGCTGCAGCCGGGATATAAAATAAATAGATGAATAAGAAAAAAAAAAATGCAAAGTGCCCTGGGTCTTCCCTAGACACAGATGTCAAGCCAGCCTACATCCTATATAGGATTTTCTGTCAGCTCCGAGTTGGGGAGTGGAGGTACAAGCCTGGGGTCCCTGTGCCTGTGTGCAGAGCAATGTCTGAAGCTGAAGAAGCCATTTCAGCTGTCCCAGTATCCTCTAGACCTTGGCTTAGATCAAAGGTTCTCAACCTGTGAGTCATGACCCTTTGGGGTCATACATTAGATATTTACATTATGAATCATAGCAAAATTACAGTTACAAAGTAGCAATGAAGATAGTTTTATGGTTGGGGGTCACCACAACACGAGGAACTATATTAAAAAGTTACAGCATAGGAAGGTTGAAAACCACTGGCTTAGATGGAGCATGGTGCTTTTGTTACAGAGTATTCAAATGGAAGCACTTGGCAGAGTACTTACTAGACAGTAGACACTCAGGAACCGTGGGCTGAATGGTTGGATGGAGGCATGCTGTGAGCCAGGATCGACAACTGAGTCTTGGTGTCTCACTCCTGAGGTCGTCATTTCTAGTCAGCAGTCACAGGCCCTCTGACACGCCTTCCATGAAGAGCTAGGGTTATTGGAGAGCCCTGAGTTTGGGCAGAATCTGACTGCTTTGACCTGTAAGATGTAGTGGGTAGTGGCCGTGAGGATGTCCTGCCTCCCTCCACCTTTCAGATGTTGCCCCTGGAAACACTTCAGAAGCCCTGGATCTTCTTGATAGGTATGCAGATGAAGTGATACAAGCCAGACTCAAGTTCCCCTAACCAGCCCAGTCTACTCAGCAGGCTAGTGTCTACCTAGAGCCTTCCTCATACTGACTAGTGCCCATGGTAGTGGAAGGTACTCTGCACATTACCAAAGGAGAAAAGTAAACAGCAACCCAGCTACAAACCCTTCAATCTATAATGGTGGCCTGCCTGCAAGATGTGCTAGGGCGGCAGCGGCACAAAGCTTGTGGGAGTAACCAGCCACTATGTGATTGGATTTAAGGCCCACCCCGTGAGATGGAACCCAGTTCTGACACTGCTCTGGTGACCAAGAACAATAAGACTAGATAGGCCAGAGACCTATGGTTCTCACCTGGCCCTAACCTCGAGCTCCTCCTGTCTCAGCCTCCTGAGGGCTGGTATTGCAGGTGTATACCAGCATATCTACCTATGTTTTTAAATGTTACTATAAAGCTTCCTTCAGAAAACTAAGGAACGTAACTAGCATCTACAGCCAGTTTAATCCTGAGGTAAACTGAAACTCAGAACACCTGCCTCCTCTGCTTGTGGTGACTCTAACCATGGACTAATCCACCTCATAAAGAAAGCAATCACAGGAATGAAATGAGAGGGGAAGGGCTTTGGGGTCATCTCAACCATGGCTGTCCCTCTCTCCCGCACCTGAAAGGAGGCTTCCTACAGTGAGAGGTGTTTGAAAAATGCTGCATGAATGAATGAAAGACTACATGAGAAGTATTACAAGCACTTGCAATACATCTGAATCTGGTAATAAGATGACCAATTTAATTTGCCATGATCGGTTGGATCCCAGGTGTTCTGGGCCTCCACCATATGCAGGGTCCAGCTCCAAGTTGGTTCTGAATTTCCCAAACACTTCATGTGCATTGACAGGTTGTCTAAAGGTAAATTCCTTCTCACAGGCCTAGGCTTGGTCCTTTATCCTATGCCCAGCTGGAAATGTGAGGATGCCTGCATCCTCTGGTCCATCTTCCACAGGCTGACCCAGCTCCACCAAGGGACCCCATGCTGCTGTCACTGTGGGAAGAGGTCTGCTGAGGAGCTCCAGAAAGGAGTGACTGCCACTGGTGATTTGGAGGCCAGTGGAAGAATAATCTAGCAGCTCTGTTGTGACAAACAGCAGGAAGACAGCCTCTGCATAAAGGGCCTGACCACTCACACTTCCACAGCACGTTATGCCTTAGAAATTAATATTTGTATTATTTTGTCTTTGTTAGGAGGGTGGAGTGATGTCAGGTGACTGCTCCCTGTTTCCCCGCCCTCTTTTTCCATGTTTCCATGAGCAGCACCTAGCTTGGAGCCCTTCTGAGAAAGTTTGAGACCTCTAGAGGAATAGAAGCTTACTATCTGCAAGGCTCCCTGGAGGACAGGGCTGAACTTGGCCATCTGGTCCAGCACCCCAGACTGTCAGCATCCAGGGCATCCCTTGTTGATGTTGTGTCTCTGGAGTGCTGCCTCTCTGTCCTCTCATTTTCCTCCTTCCCTAGGTCTGGTAGGGTCTAGATACCTAAAGCTACTTATGGGTCCTCACCATGTACTCATCTTTCATCTTCATTCCCAGGCATTATTCCCAGTATCCTGGCCACCAGCTCTATCTAATTCAATTCAATAGGGCTTTGGGTTGTCATGGGCAAGGTATTATATACCCAGTGGGTATAGAGGGGATGCTGTCTAATATATGTCCTATCTAAGGAGGCCGAACGGCTACAAGAATCCCAACAGAACCTGGAAGCTGGAGAACAAGTGATAGACTCCAGACAGAAGCAGACCTGAAATCAACAAAGAACTTCATATAGAGTCCACATAATTGGCAGAAGGCAGTGTTTCCAATGGCATAACTGTCAATCAATGGGGACTTACTTCTCCATAGTACTTCCAGAGACTTGGGATGACTCTAAAGTCCCTTCCTTCCAACACACAGGGCAACTACATAATTTCCACTTTAAACAGCACACATAGTACAGAGGAGTGGCTCACATTTCATTGAAACCCTACGGCAGCACTCTAAACATAGCGTGAATATGCTTTTATTTACTACATGCAACAACTCTGTGGAAGAGATGTTATCTTAATTAGGCGAAGAAACTGCAGCTTGGAGAGATTCGAGAACCGGCCACACAGCTAGTAATGGCAGAGACAGGATTCAGGATTCTTCTACATTCTTCTAACGCCTATTGGGCTGCTCGTTCTCTGCCATCCTGCCTCCCTAAAATACATCCTTTCTTCTCTGTTCCTTGTCCCATATCACTTTCTTGCCCTTTTGATGAACCACATGTGATTTCACAGAGCTGGTCTATAATCTGTGCCTTTTCTTCAACCGCCTATGAAAACACTTCATCTGGTACACGGCTGGCAGCTCCCCTGGATGTGCGGTGTCCCTGGCCCTAGCCATTTAGATGTGCCTCAGGCTGATCTCTGACAGATGCTCTGAGCACCAGAGAGCAGCGCCGCGCTGGTGTCTGCTAAGATGAGACTTCCTCCAACGGTTCCTGAGACTCTAATCAAGATTGATCCACACTTCTGTGGCGCTCAGTGACTGTCCTTAATCAGTGAGGACTCTTGGGCCTCTGCTTTTTTCCAGGGCCACTGATTTGAAAGCCAACTGATTCAGCGGAGGCACTGTGTGGGAGATACCCAGAGGCAAGCCGCGGGGATGCCAAGGTCTGGAATCAGGACTCTGGGAGCCTCTCACCTGTGGGTTACAATGAGTCCCCATTGTGACCTCTTCTGGCCTTACATCCAGATGGCACTGGGACATCCAGAGTTGCCTGCAGTTGTTCAGCTGTGGCTCTATTATCCCCAGTGTCTCACTTTCTGGAGGCATTGGCACAAATGAGGCCGAGGAGCTCAGTGGAATCTGCTGGTTCATCTGAGACCTGGCTTGCGTTTGACTGTTCTTCACTACATCATTACATGAGTGCTGCTGTCATTGAGGCCAGAAGGATGCAAACACAAAGCACTCATCCTGGGCAGGATCACTTGTAGCAGGAATCTTCAAAGGTCTTATTAATAAAATCAAACCTGGAGCCAGGTACTGGGGTCAATGCTGGAAGATCAGAGAAGCAGAACAAGTCACAGCCACTTCACCTCGCCAGTTCCTCAGCTGATCCTGTTTCCTCAGACTGGAAGCCTCTGTGTCCTCATCCAAATGGATCTCAGCTGAACTGTTTGTCGAAAGCCTGAAAGCTTAACTGACTAGTTCCTGTTTTTGATGCCTTTTATACCTTTCTGCTTCCTGCCATCACTTCCTGGGATTAAAGGCTCTTGTTACTATGGCTGGCTGTTTCCAGTGTAGCCTTAAACTCACAGAGATCCAGACGGATCTCTGCCTCTGGAGTGCTAGGATTAAAGGTATGTGTGCCACAATTTTCTGACCTCTATATCTAGTGGCTATTCTGTTCTCTGACCCCAGATAAGTTTATTGGGGTGCACAATATATCAACCACATTTCCCCTTTTTTTGTCTAAAATAATAAATGAAGGTTACAGTCAAGAATTACATTAACAATGTCTAGTCCATTAACATTTGACAGATTCAGACGAAAAACTCCATTATATATATTAACAATGTCCAGTCCAGTAACATTTGATAAACTCAGACAAAAAATTTTCGTTACTTATCCTCTGTAAAACAAGTAGTTCCTTTTTAAAAGTAGATTCAATAATTGACCTTTTTATCTTATCAGCCACTGGACCAGGTTTCCATAGGATGAGTGCTTGAGTAGTCAGGGAGAGCCATGGCTGCCCTTGCAGGCCTGAAGCCCTCGACTCTCTGCAATGCTTGGGTCCTATGCTAGCTGAGTCACCATGCCACTGGCATTTGTTAACTGCCAGCACCACTACCCTCAGCATGCCGCGTTCTCCAGCTTTGAAAACCCATCAAACTCAGGAAGATCCTCATTTCCATCCTGTTCAGTTGACAGATGCAAAAGGGAACATCTGCGGTACAGTGAGAACTGGTCATCCCCTCTGCTTCCTCTGATCCTGAAAAGATGTTCCATGCAGTAGGAATCCCTGGTCTAGCTGCTTCATTTTTGGTTTTGGTTTTGTTTTTTCCTCATTCCTGTTAATTTCATTAGAGTTAGTTCTTCCGTATGTGGCACACACACACACACACACACACACACACACACACACACACACACACACGTTCTATACTCTTTACCTTACTCCTGTTTTTAGTGCAACAGGCTGTCCCTCTCATGCAGAATCATGATCCCTTTAAATGCGTTTGACTGTACCAAGGGATGTTCATTTGTTTAAAGAGGCGCTGTCCACTGTTTCCCTTGGGTGTTGTGCCTGTGGTTAGAAGGACTGCCTTGCTTGGGCCATTTCAGAGGGCCTTTTCAATAAATCACTCATTTCCCTTCCCTGAGTTTGTTTCCTGGACAATTATTGATTGTGGTGAGCATCCCACAGCTCCCAGAGCATCTTTAGGCTGTTAGAACAAAGGGGGCAGACTTTGGAGGAGAGATGGGTCTCTGATTCTACTTTCCTTGGGGCCACTGACCTCTCCACAGGGGCAGAGAGAGAGGAAGGCTGGAAGGAGGAGATGACCAGCACCCCAGGGACTTTGTGAGCACTTGAGAGATGTGCTCTGCTCTCACCTTGAAATTTGACCTGAGGGGTTCTAAAATGGACTTTTGGATGGCTGCACTACAAGCTAGCCAGGACCCTGGTTTCCTCAGAAACTGCCTAGCTTTAACATTCTAAACCTTCTAATGCACTCCCTTCAGAATTGAGACAGAATCCAGAGCACAAAGACATAAAACCCACACTGCTCCCACTAAGCAGTCCTGCACATTGTGACCCTGCCCACGGTGTCCCCACTCACCCTTGACCAAAATGACTAGACACTCAAGAGAGAAATCTTCTCCACAAGGGAAAAACCAATTTGCCTACTCTCTACACACTTATAGGATAATTGAGCTAGCATGCATTTGAATTATAAAGAATAAATGCTGTTCTTATTTGCTATTTACCTACTTTCTAATTTTAACATGTAACACTAGTAATAATTTGCATATTCTATATTTATAGAAAACTGATTCCTTCTTACAACTCCAATGGGCAATTATCTCTGTACAGTATGTGTTGTTTTTGTATAAACGTTGAAAACTCAATAATCATCTCTAGAATGAGCTTTGGCATGTGGAAAACAGACATATAATAAGAAAGAAGTCATCTGGTCAGTAAGATTCAAAGTACACACCAATTCCTTGTCTATGGTGGATGAGCTCAGGTATGGGTTTTCTGAGGCATCTACTAAGCCAGTTGAAAGTCTGCAGTTGTGTGGTTTTGGTTTATTAAGAGTCAATAAGAGCTGTCTTGGGAAGAAAAGCAAGCAAGCAAGCACATCTCATAATAAAAATAATAGCTGCCATTTGTGGAGTGCCTTTCCTGTGCCAAGTAGCATGTGGTTTCAGAGCTGTCCCTTCCATTCCCTCATCAACCTTACAAGATGAACCCCATTGGAAAACAGGTCTAGGGCCCAGAAAAGCTAACTGTTCATTTCCATAACCTTTCCTCTCCACCCCAGTCACCCCCCAAGGCTGAGTTGTACCACAGATGTCCCATCATTGACTGCTGGAAGTTGGCTGCAGGTAGGTATGGTTATAAACTCATAATGAACCTAGGGAATAGTAAGACGTGTTTAAGCCAGGAGCTTCATGTTACCTGTTTCGAGGTAAGCCAACGTCGTAAGAGTGGGCTTCATTTTTCTTTAAAAAACAACAACAACAACTGTATGAGTATTTTGCTTGCATTTATGTTTATGTACCGCATGCCTGCTGTGCCCATGGAGGCCAGAAGAGGGCATCAGATTCCCCCGGGGCTGAAGTTAACAGAGTTATGAGCTACCATGACAGTGCTAGAAATTGAACCAGTGTCCTCCGGAAGAGCAGCCAGTGCTCTTAACCACTAAGCCATCTCTCCAGCCCCAACTTTATTTTTCTTAAGGCCTTATGGCCAAAAGAATGTAAGTGGTTCTATATTGATGATGAATCCTCTAAATTGGGGGCATAGTTACAGGAGAGGGGCTAAAAGGAATCCCCGTGTAGATTCTGAATAAATAGCTTTAAGGTAAGTGCCCTACTACTTACTAAGAATAGAGGTCTCTTTGCTTGAACTTCATCATCTTTATACACCACACCAGTTGACTCTATTCATGGGTCTAAGTAACTAAAGGGTTAATGGTAGACAGGGTGATTAGGAAGGTACCATGCTTCCAAAAAGGGAATTCATTCTTCAATCATTCTTTGGATAAGTTTGTCTACCTGCTGTGCACATTGGGTGGACAAAAATCTCGAGATAATATTTTGGTCCAGAATATTTATAACTTCTTAATAAAAAAAATCATCTCGGCAGTATGGATTGTGATAAGGAGATAAATGAGGAACTACCCTAGGTGCACCAAGCTGCGAGGGCCCCAGTTCCACCAATTTATTTGCTTCTCTCACACAGGTGGTACCAGGTGCTTTGTACTAATGAACGTGTTTTTAATGATTCTGAAGTGAATCCCAGAGCCTTGTTAATGCCTCAGTCACAAAGGGAAACAAGGCTGCAGATGCCTTCATCTTCACGGGTCCCAGGTATCTGAAGGCACAGTCCTTGAGTCAAGTTATTTTCACCTCAAACAAGTGGCTGGATTATTTTCATGCAGTTTCTATCACCCCCACCTCACCCCCCCCTCAAAAAAAGCCTGGACATTATTATAAGGAGTGGGTCTGATGTCAATGATGGAAGTCGGTTTCTAGGTCTGAACTGGGGAAAACAGTGCCTGACATGTCATAAGCCATGGCTAAGGACATGGAGAAATGGGCATTACTCATTATGTTCTGCAATGCCATCCCACCAGGGCTGTGAGCTGCAGTCCAAGGTCCTCTGACAGTCCCCTTCTTTAGACATTCTCAATTAACTCAATGCGAAATGGAGAGGCATTGTCCAGACCAGAATGGGACCATTGTCTGACTTGTCTGAAACATAGTGACCCACTGCCTTAGCCTGCACCTCAGTGGCAGTGACAAGCTGCTCATTCCAAGGAAGAGACCTCAGCTCCCAGCTTAGTACTTTGAAAATGGAGACCCAAAGGCAAGGCAGTCTAAAAAAGCCTAATTACTAAGCCTAATACACCTTGTGACCGAAATCCACAGGTGGGAACCTGGTCTGAAAATCATTGTTTGCATCTATGAAATGTGTCTTCTTTGTGCCAGGAACCTTGTGAGTACTGAAAATGCAGAATAATGACTCTCTCTCTCTCTCTCTGAGTGTGTGTGTGTGTGTGTGTGTGTGTGTGTGTGTGTGTGTGTGTGTGTGTGTGTCCTTACCTTCCTAGTAGAAACATTCTTAGTGTACATAATTCTATCCCCTGGGCAATAGTCACTGATGGGTGGGGTTTGAATTGAACAGGAAGCACTGTTAGATTCTGGGTAAAAACTGAAAGGAGATTTGTCTGCCAAGCCAGAATGGTCAGCTTGGAGAACACACACACCACACACACACACACACACACACACACACACACACACACACACACACTCTTCCAGGTAGCATCAGCCACACTTAGCAAGCACCTTTAGCAAAGGCCTGCTACATATACAAATGCTACATATACAAAATTGTCACAAATGCCCCCAAACTTCCTCAGGAGGGTGAACACAGGCCTCTAACTTTCCATTTCTTATACTCACAATAGAAAGAATAGGTTAAGTGGTAGCATGAGGTTTCTTTACTGAACAGAAACTATTAGGTCTGAGCATGAAGATAAATACCTTGGTTGTGAATCAGGTTTGGAGGTTCTGAAACCCTAAAAAGAGCCCACCTGCTCATATTGACCACTGGTGGTAGAAGATGTACACTTCCATCCAGGGTAGTGGGAGGCATGGGCTCAGACTGAAGCTAGCCATGCAAAGGAACATTTGGAAGTCTGAATCTGATTTCTTTTGGAAGCACACTGCTAAGGTCGTGCTATGAGAGAAAGCATAGCTGTGCCTGTCACTGTCTCTGGCACACACACACACACACACACACACACACACACACACACACACACGCACGTCTCTGTTCGTCGACTCATGTGAGGTTTTAAGTTACATGGCAACCAACAACCAGATGCAGTTCCCTATCCGCTTGGATCTTAGAGGCCACAACAACACGACCAGGACTTTGTGGCTCCACAGCAATGTCATCTGGTCAGAGTTTCCCTAGAGAAAGTGGATGGGAGGAGGGAGAGAGTTCCAAAAAAGCCCTGGTGAAGATAGGATTTCCCCGAACAGAAGGAAGAAGACAATGTGAGTTGACACATGGCAACAGCCATACAGTTGCTGGCTGGCGGCTCAAGAGTTTGGCTGTAGC